TAACAGAGAATGGTTCGGAATTGTACCTTAGTTGTGATGTTCTGGACCTTAGTCTTCGGGAATCCACCCCTCTTTTGCTTCCTCTTGGCTAGATCTCCTCTTTCCTTGCTAGAAAATAACTCCAAGATCAATAATGGCTCCTTCCCTCACTTGAATTGCTCAAATGCTCTAGGGTTTCACTCTGGGGACTGATGAGCACAAATGACGGCCATAAGGCCCTTTAAATAGGCCTCAAACCCGAGAAATTAGGGTTTCATTAAACAGCGCAGACTCGCCGAGTCTACCAAGGCGACTTGCCGAGTCCGGGCATCAATCCGGGTGAGAAATCGCGTCTCAACTCGGCGAGTCTACGCACCAACTCGTCGAGTTCTTCCACAAAACTCAAAATAAAAAGAATAATTAATATAATTGAAATCCCGGATGTTACAGTTTCGCAACTTTTCATTCATTATACTTCTTGATAATTCTAAATAGTTATGTTTTTCCTTCCCAATTTTCCATTCTGTAGAGATCTGTAAAGTGATGAGAACTAATGGCGAACATCATTATTTTTCAAAATTGGAAGAAGTTTTGCTTATATTCTCCACAAAAATCTAATCATAAACATTTGATTACACAATCACCTTGCTTTTCAATAAGTGACTTAGAAAGTTTTACATGCTCCAAATACTTCTCATTTGTATTTTAAAAATGATAAATGACACATTATCCTTATAAACGTATTGCGCATTTGAAGCTTCATTCCCTTAAGTAATTTTCATCTTTTTTAAGGGAACAAAGTTATTAATGACTTGTCTTTTTAGGCCCTCTACTGTTAGTAGATGGTTTCTTGTTCAGTTATGCATTTTACCATTTCAAAGTCAAAATCAGATTGTAAAAGTCAAAATCATGGGTATGTAAACCGGAAAACATCTTTGGAGTGTATCAACTTCTACAGTCGAAGAGTGTATCGACTTCTGCAATCCAATATCATTGATCATTCCCTGTATCGACTTCATCGACCTCAAATGCTTTCTCTTTCTACAGACTGATCTTCTTTTTTGTTCTCTTACTATAATATAACAACATTAATGGTGATGGATATAAACCTCGGTAAAAATGGTGGTGTGAAGAAGATTATTAATGTTGGAGGAGGGAGGAGGAAGACGAAGATTCTGATTTTTCCAAAAACCAAAAGAAAGTTATCATTGATCCATAACAAATCCAGTTCTAAGATACATCAAATTACAGCTTGCAGAAAACTATGCAATATATATATATATATATATATATATATATATATATATATATATATATATATATATATATATATATATCCAATTAAGCATTAAACAAATCTTCAACTTCCAATTTTTTATTACCACCTCCTTCAAGAAAATCTTCAGGCTCCGATTTTGGATTACCACTTCCATCAAACTTTGATTTTGGACTTCAATATCATGGTCATGATTTTCAGCCTCATTAACCCACAAATGAAACCCACTCCTAGATTCCCCACAAATTTCAATATCATAAATTAGTAAAACTATGTTAGAATGGTGTACCATATTCGGTCAAGCATATTATTCCCTACCTAGATTCTTCTTAGTGGTGGAAGTCCTTACGATAGCCATACTTGCATAATCGCACCTCACCATCGTTTCTTGTTTGGATGTAGTAGGAAAAAAAAAGAATAAAGGAGAAAAAGAAATTGAAGAAGAAGGGAATGAGAGAAATAAGGGACTGGGAAAGAAGTTATTGACTTGTTAGCATTTTAGATGAGGTGAAAAAGAAGTCATCGGCTGACCCCTTCGTTTCTTCAAAAGTGACTAATTAGAAACGACAAAAAAAACTTTATTCCCTCATAAAGCACTGAAGTAACTTATGGGACTGAATGGGAAAATATACAATACGTTATAGGGCTAATGTGTCATTTCGCCTTTTAAAAGAAAGATATACCGGACTAATTTCTAGTGGTGCAGAGAAGAAACAAAACATAGGGAAAAAAATAAGGGAAGAAGAAATTAACTTGATCATAAAGTTAAAATAAAACGGAAGTGATGGAAATGAAAAAAAGATTGAGGATTGAAACCTATTTTATACTAAGGATTTGCAACTTAATTTGATACTAAAACAAGACAGAGATAATAACTTAAATAATGAAAAATAAAGTTTCCTAAATTTCCCTTTTTTCAAAACATGAGGTTGAACTTGTTCTAATAAAATATGATTAAGCCAATAGTCACCCACTTAATCGGCTTGATCATACCACTCGTTCACAGTAGTGTCAGTTCTTCAATCAAGTGTGTTTCTTGTTTCTTGCACTTAGGACACTTGTTGTTGTAGTGATTAAACTCACCATATTTCTAACATCTAACATGACTTTTATCCTGAACTCATTCATTACCATCTCGATTCTTCCCAGACCCACGAACCCTTCCCCGACCACATCCAAAGTCATCCTGATTTGAACCTTCATTTCCACAATGCTTACAAACATGCTATTTTTCTTCACTAGCCAAAATCAACCCTCCTTGAATGTCCCCCACTTTCTCATTTCCTTTTATATGCTCCTCATATACCTTCAAACTACTTACAATTTCATGGAATAACATCGAATCCAACTCGAAACATTGATCTATTGAAGCCATGATTTGGAGATAATACTTAGGCATCAAATCAAGTAACATTTTCATCAAATCTACTTCTTCAAGCTCGTAATGAAGGCTCCTTGATTTTGAGGCTAAACCAGATAAATTTGTCAAAAAAATCATCAACTGTTTCACCTTCCTTCATGCGTAAACTTTCAAGCTCCCTCCTTAAGGTTGAAATTCGAGTCGTTCAAACCCAATCCACTCCCAGATAGTGCGTTTTTAGACCATCAAACACTTGCTTTGGTTTGGTGTAACTCGCTATTTGCACTACCATGTTTTCAGGTGTTGATTGAAACAAAAAGGAAAAATCTTGTTTTAACTTCCTTCGATTTGATACATCACCTAATGCCCTTGATTCGAGAGTCTCCGGTATGATGTATTCATCCATATCCTACTTGATTATGACTACCCACATAGAGTAATTCATTGGATTCAAAGATGAAACTTGATACGACATCAAACCTTCTTCTTTAACTATTGACATCCTATTCACCCTTTTGACAGCCCCAACCTCTTTAATCAGGCTTGTTCTGAGAGCACTCTTTCACCAATCAAGTAAACAAGGTCATGTGCACCTTTACCGTTTTCTATCACCTACAAAAATGAACTGAATCAAAGCTACCTTCTTTGATGTCTTCTGTTCATTTATTACACACCTTCGGTTAGTCTCTCATTATAATTAGAACAAGTCTCATCAAGAGAAATTGGTAATGTTGTTGAGATGCTTCAACTTGACATCAAAACCGACTCACTGACACCAAGTGAACGAAATATAAACTAGACTAATTTATGGTGGTGCACAAATGAAACAAACAAAATAGGGGGAGAAGAAATTTACTTGCTCACAATGTTAAAATAAACCTAAAGTGTTGAATTTGCATAAAAATTTGAAGAATGACATCTATTTTATACAAAAAGTATTATAAACCTAATAAGATATTAAACAAGAAATAAATAAAGAATCAAATAATGAAAATAAAGTTTCCTAAGTTTCCCTTCGTTCATTTAAAACGTGATTTTGAACTTGTTGAGATCGATTAACCCAATACCATAAAAATATGTGTAAACAAGATCCAAGACTTTTAATGTCGTCCACGATTTATCATATTCAAATGAGTTTCTCAAATGCCATCCTAAAGTTCAACCTTCAGAGACTTGATCCACCTTATCAATCCTTTATAATCCTCATACAAGGTTATGATTGAACATGTATTTACAAACACATGTTACTTTAATTGATCAGAGAGAAAAATCACATGAATATTTATAGAGAGTAGTACCTATATATACATAAGTTTAAAAGCCAATAAGCATTCACTAGTACACAAAGCTTTTTTTGATGCATTTAAAATGATTTATTGATATAGGTATTGAAACACACCAACAAATATCGCATCAGAAACACCCTTATTTAATGGTGCGGTTATACAACTGCATTAAAAAAAAAAAACCACAACCGCACCAAAAAAAAACAAATGGTTTTTTCATAAAAAAAAGGCTTGACAGGTGTCCCCATTAAATGATAGAACCGCATCATTAAATCATACAAAAGAACCGCAGCTTAAAAAGATGTTTCTTTTTTATTTAATTCTTTACACATTTCTATGCTCTCTTTTGAGCTTTACACGGCTCATCTATCATTGTGAGGATAACATAATTCTCAGAAACTTCAAATTCCTGCTTCTTAGCCCAACCCCTTCGTGCTTCCATAACCTGCATGGCGAACCAATGATTTGCCATGACTTATCCAACTTGTACATATATAAAGTTTCACCAAAAAACGAAAAAAAAATAACTTACATGATTTGGAGTTAACAGGCTAGAACCAGCAAGTGTATGACCAACAACATTAGTCTTTGTAAATCTGTTAGCCACTTTCATCATAACTTTTAAAAACTATGGCAACAAACACAAAAGAAAATAATATCATGGTATTTTCAACAAAATTTGAGAAAATTAGGCAAGATATAACATTTACTAATGCAAATTCTATTTCAACAACTTCAGGATGTTAAGTTGCACATTAACTGTGGCCTTGACATTTTTTGCACCCAACGTTTCATAAGGACCGATCTAAATGAACATTAATCAATTAAAAGTTATAAGTTGAAACCCTAACTTAACAAATCATAGTATCATACATATAAATTAAGAAATTTATGAATCAAAATTGCTAAAACAGAGTATCAAACACACATACCTTAGAGTCTTGGTGGTGGGTTGATGGCTCAAAGAGAAATCAGATTCACCACGGTGTTGACCTGAAGTCGTGAATTGACAATGATGGAGGGTGGGGTTAGCCGGAATCAGAGTTGATGGGGATGGGGTGACAGGACTCAACAATGATGGTCATGGCGGCAAGAGTCGATGATGTTATCAAATGAAATTAGGTTAAGAAATAGCATCGCACTGGAAAAAAAAGCATCGCGGGGCAATGAAAATTTAGAAGGGAAGACATTGCCCAGGAAACAAAATATTAGAAGAGAATTCGTTTGGTTTAAAGGTGCGGTCTTTGATCTAAACGCACCTATAAATCTATTTTAGTGGTGAGGTTTAGATACATAGCACCAAAAAGTAACTTTGTAAAAACATTTAAGAGCATTAGGTATGGGCTCGTTGAGGTGGTGTTATAACAACTTAAAACACCAAGGGGGAAATGGTGTTCATGGTTTTATGACCATGTTATGAGGAGGTTAAGAGGAGAAAATTAGAGAGAGAAGAAATGTGTAGCCAATCAATGTTCTCATTTCAATATGTCATAACGCGAACAAGATATGCCATAACACCAAGGGGGAAATGGTATTTATGGTGTTATGACCATGTCATGAGATGCCACATCAGCAAAAATATCACTTCTTGTTGCCCATACCATATGCTCTAATGCAATTTCCACATAACCGCACCAACAACAATATTTGGTGTGGTTTTTGTTTTTGTTTTTTTTATGCGATGTATATATATTTAATACTGCGGTTTTTAAACAAGACCGCACCAAAAAATAAAATGGCATCGCAGTATTAAATGAGTTATGTACTAGTGATTATTTCTAACATATATATATATATATATATATATATATATATATATATATATATATATATATATATATATATATATATATATATATATATATATATATATATATATATATATAAAAGCATTATTTCTAATCCATATGTAGGGATATATCCATCTCTTTGGAATTTATATCGATGCTGGAATAATAACCACCAAATGATTCAGCCAATATATTCCGGATGAATTTATCATGTAATAGAAATACACAGGATTAAAGGATAATACATGTGGAAATAACTCATCAATTTGAAAATTGTCTACCTTTATTTATATGGCATCGCTTTTTGCACGTTTGTCTTCCACCTCGATGTAATAAGTGGACAATTTGGTGATTAATTATTATTGCTAGTAAACTAATCAACCATTTTGTAATTAACAGTCCATAAAGAAAAGTTGATGTTTTAAAAGACCTTGTTACATAACTAGAATGTTAGAAAATCGGGGTATAGAATTGTTTGGATCAATGAGAGTTGTAAAACATTTTCAGATTAAAGTATTTCGATAGTATAATGAAAAATCTCTAATCGGATAAAACTCATTGTTTTCTAGAATGAAGAATGAATAAGATGTTATGAAGTTATTTATCCAAAATGATTTCGAAATTGATCATATAACAGGAAACAACTTATTGTCTTAAAACTATCAAATGATAGTTTATGTCCTAAAACTGTCCAAAACGGTCATAAAATAACTTAAAAACCGGGTCTGAAATATAGATAACAAAACAAGGTGTATTTACTGAAAATATGGATTTTTGATACATTTTTTATATAGCAACGTAACACATATTAATATTATTATAGAATTGGATATAATTGGCCAAATGACATTTTTATTTACAGAAAATTTGACACTAGCTAGGGGCTACCACCCCTTGGACCCCGCTCCTAGGGTCGCTGCCCCCGGACCCCTGTTCAGGAGCTTCGTCCCTTAATAACAATATACTTCCAACAAAGACAAAATTAAATAAATATACACTCCGTACCATATTAATTTGTCTAATAATTTTCATAGCGACATTAATCAACAAATTAACCTCATTACACTTAAATAATATTAGTGATGTAAAATCACCAATATAAAATTCCAAAATGGTATGCAGATCTAGGTCCAACAAAATTAGAAGCAACGCAAGAAGACATAGAAGAAGTGGTTACAGCGGAAGCAGAAACACAAGACCCACACGACACAGCCACGATAAATATTGGAACAGATGATAATCAGACAGAAAACATGATACCCGTAACAATAGACGAATACGAGAAGTTGCATAAAGCTACTGTGAAGGGGGATTGGTATAAAGCAGAAAGCATAATAAGAAACAAGAAACATGCAGTGGAATTGGAAATGAGCAAAGACGGCAGCACAATACTTCACTTGGCTGTTGGAATAGGTCATAACGAATTTGTGGAAAATTTACTTTGGTATATAAAAGATGGAGACTTATGTAAAAGGAGAAGTTCTGATGGAAGCACAGCCCTCCACATCGCTGCAATTGTTGGGAATAGATATGCAGCGCATCTCTTGGTTGATAAAGACAAAAGCTTGTTACTAATTAAAGACCATAAAGGCAATGAAGCATTGCATAAAGCTTATGAAAATATGCATCTTGATACCTTGGTATATTTGTTCAAAGCCTCTGGTACTGTTGCCATAACCACGGCGTTGTCTATTCCTTCACGGCTAAAAAGCAGGTCGCTTACTTCACTCACCCTCAACTTCACCCTACTGTGCAAATAGGGGATGACCTTCTTGTTAGTTTTATTTCTGCCCACGAATTCAGTGAGTAGCCGCAATATCACATAAATATTGTTACATAAAGACATATTGCATTAAATAATCATACTTTACTGATTATTTTCGCAGATCTAGCATCGGAATTAATTGAAGATTTTCCTAAATTTGCTGTGAAAACTGATGGTGTACTCATGGCGTTAGCTAAAAGCTTTCCGAGTGGACTAAACCATTAGGAAACACTTATCTATCCATGTAAGATTTTAATGTACTAGGAAAGAGCTTTCTCTATTATTTTTTATTTCTATTTTTGTTCTAAGGGTAATTGATTGTGTGGTTTTCCTGTTTTAGCGTTGGACTGTATCTGGGAAGCACTAGAGAATGCAACAATAATGGTTTTCGGGTCATTTCTGATTATCCCGCTCTTTATACACAGTTTCTTCGTGGTGGAGGATGACGCTATCCCAAAATGGAGCAGTTACCCATTCAAGGATTTATTATTATATTTTGAACTCAAAGCGAAGTCTATTCTGCTGATAACTTTTTTGTTCTTTTGCAGTTCTAGTGGTGATACCTTTCTTCGTCGGTGGTTTGATATATTTCCTCATATCAGTGGTTTGTTGCATATATTATCTTTTGTGGAAGGCTTTATCGGTGATAGGTAAGAGCATGTGCAGTCAATCCACTTATTGCAACTTGGTTAATTTGAAATCTAGGTAAATTCTAAAAACTAAGATGGTGTTTCTTTTCACTCAGTTGACTTAATGGGGATCCAACTTAATAATATATATATATATATATATATATATATATATATATATATATATATATATAAAATCAATAGTTTCTTTTTTACTTTAATACATCACTACAAGGAAAAAGACAATTAGCGGCAACAAAAGTCGGCACTAAAGGGTCATGAAGTCGCCAGTAATGGTAATAGCGACGACACGTCGTCGGTAATAAATCGTCGCTATGGCTCCGTCACTATTGATCAATTTGTCGCCACTAAAGAGGACAGTTGCCGTTAATACTTGTGTCGCCGGTAAAGAGTATAGTCGCCGGTAATAGTGTTGCCGATAATAACAATTTTCATTTTTTAATTTTTATTTAATCAACGATTTTGGTTGCAGGTAATTACATAACAACATCCAATTAAATATCAAAAGTATTAGTTTCGCCAGTAATTACATAATAATATCCGATTAAATATCAAAAATAATAGTGTCGCCAGTAATAGTATCGCTGGTAATTACATAAAACAACCAAAAGTTTTACAATTCTAACAAGTTGCAAAAAGTGACAACAAGTGTAATATACAAATAAAGTTCATTCCTACATATCATCATCTTCGTTCCCATCGTTTCCTCGATTATTCTATGATTGAAAAAACGAATAAGGATCATCCCTACATGTCGGGTCGTTGAGTATTGCCTAAAGATTTTCCAACTACATAATAAATAACAACATATATAAACTTATAAGTTAAATTATCAAACATTAACAAAAACTATCAAAGCACATTGTTATTTTTAAATTAAGACAAAAAGCCAAAGTATATTGGTATTTTTTGCACTTGGGACAAAAACTCAATTACCAAAGTTTTTAACAAATAATCACCACAAAACGAAAATTACCAAATCAACATGCATATATAACTTTTGTTTTAAAAATACACATGTTGAAAATATAACAGTCTCTAACTTTTGTTTTAAAAATACACATGTTAACTCAAAAAAGTAGATATTACTTGTAATTTATGTATTTTTTTAATTAATTTTAATTATAATTACTTGTAATTTTAATTACAATTACTTATGTTCTAAAAATACACATGTTTACTTGTACTTTATATGTTTAGCGATTAGCTTTTTTCCATCGTATATATAGATACATTTTTCCAATTATAACATTGTATTTTAAAAAAATTTATAACATTTTTTTTTTCCAACTATAGCATCTTACATATACCAAAACCACATACTTTCACATAATACAAAAGATCATCAAATACACATACTTTCACATACATACATAATAATATCCTGCTTATACCAAATACACAAAGATCATCATATACACGTACTTTCACACACACACACACACACACACATATATATATATATATATATATATATATATATATATATATACAACATATACACCAAATATACATACATTCACATACATACATAATAACATTCTACTTATACCAAATACACATACTTTCATTATGTGTGTATATATATATATATATATATATATATATATATATATGTAACATTATATTTATACCAAATACACAAATTTCACATTCATATATCATATATATATACATCAAACACACATAATTCACATACATACATAATAACATCTTATTTATACTAAATACACACATACTTTCACATATATAGATAATAACAACCTACTTATACCAAATACACATATTTCACATTAATATTCCACATATACACCAAACACATATACATTGACATATATACACCAAATTTACATTGATTCACACACACACACACACACACACACACATATATATATATATATATATATATATATATATATATCAAATATATGCCAATTTTCACATAATTTATACAACTACACATAGCTTGCGATTAAACTCAAATTTCTTAATAAATAGAAGTAAATAGAACTTGTAGTGGCAGAAATTACTCAATGTCGCCAGTAAAATTGGTACTTACAGGAAAATACTCTCACCTACCCCTCACAGTAAATCCAAATACACAAAGGACCAAAAACACTGAAATTGAAAAATAATTTGCAATTAATCATCAAATGGAGCTAGAAATCGATGTGAAGGAGAAATATAAAGAGATATAAGAACTTGAAGTTACCTATTTACCCGAGATGGAGCTAGTAATTTGTTGTTTTCGTGATTTAAACCCGTTTAATTGAAGCCCTAAACACCTTTGACCCTTAATCTCACAATGTTGGGAGATTTCTTGATGGAATCGAAGGTAAATCGCAGAAAACGGGACAAGAAAGAACCAGAGAAAGGGTTTTGACCGAACACAAAAAGCAAAATTGATGAAATGCGTCGTTTTTTTTCTTTTTATCTGCGCACGCCTTTAGCAACGACAATAGAGGCTTTACCGGCGACAAATGTTAACAACGGTGACTATCCGGAGGGAATGATATCGCTTATTTTTTTTATACCACTATTAGCGGCGACTTTTTCGACCTTTAGCGGCGACAAAATGTCGCCGGTATTGGTTTTGTGCGGATAATAGGCCCCAACCGTTGTATTAGATATTCGATCGAACGGATGAAGTATATCAAAAGGGGATAACGCAGATTCGAGTGAAAAGCCTTTAGCGTTGACACAATTACCGACGACTCAACCATTTGTCGCCGCTAAAAGATTGTGTCGCCGCTATGATAGACTAAGTGAGGATATGGACACTACGAAAATTCAAAGCTATCCAATTTTGATTGCTAGAGTGAAAAGTATTCGTGCTTTTTATAAACTAAAGCTAGGTTTAAGGAAGCTAAATTAGAATAATTGGAATTGTAATTCTAAAGCTGGTTGTATCATGGTTATATAATGCGGTATTTTATTGATTCTAGAAAATAAACATCCACTATAATTGGAATTGTAATTCACCCATAACCCATTAAGCATATCGAGAAGAAAAAGAAGGAATGGGAAGAAGCAGAAAATCTTCTAAAATTGGTATGTGATGAAATAGACAAGTTAGAATATTGTGGTACACATCATCCCAATTACACGGGACCAATTCTTGAGGCTGCGCGTCAAAATGTTTATAAGGTTGTTGATGAGATTTTATTTAGATCACCTGAAGCGATTCACTGTACAGATAAAAATGGATATGACATCATTATATTACCAGTTTTACACCGTTCATATAAAGTATACAACCCTATCTATGACATTGGGGGAGCGGGAGAATCTATACAGAACGTTTCTTGATTCTTCTAAGAATAATATCGTGCACTTAGTTGGAAAGTTGGCACCTTCAGATGAACTCAGTCGTAGAACAGGTGCAAGCATTACAGCTACAACGAGAACTTCAATGGCGTGAGGTAAATATTAAATAATTTATAAATCATAGTAGTATAAACTCAGTCGTAAATGAATTTTTTTATATATGGTAGTATAAACAAGTTGAACTAATCCTTCCGGAGGTGAAGAAACATGTGTTTCCTACATACATAACTCAAGATAACATTTTTAAGGAGACACCAGACAGGGTGTTCACAAGGGAACACGAGAGTTTGTTGAAAGAAGGTGAAAATTGGATGAAAACCACAGCGGAATCATGCAGCATCACTGCAGCACTAATTACCACAATTGTATTTGCAGCAGCAATTACAGTACCAGGTGGAACCAATGAAACAACAGGCACTCCTTTGTTTAGAAAAGACATTGCCTTCTCTATTTTTGCAATATCAGATGCAATTTCATTATTTGCATCCACTACCGCATATGTTAGTGTTCTTATCGATCCTTACTGCACGTTTTGCTGAGAACGATTTTCTAGTCAGTCTTCCAAGACGATTGCTTATTGGTATTTGTGCCTTATTGATCTCAACAACTGCTATGATGGTAGCCTTCAGCGCAACATTGTTCCTTGTCTTTTGTGATGAAAAAACATGGATGCTTGGTCCAATATGTGGATTAGCTTTCATCCCGATTTCATTTTTTGTCACTCTACAATTCCCCCTCATAGTAGATCTATTTCGGTCGACCCATTTACCCATATTTGGCAAGCAAAGGAAAAGTGCTTATAGAAGATTTAATGCGGACACCATAAGGTTGTATTTTGGTAAGTGGAATTAGTACATATCTTGGAATTAATCATGCATTCTACTGTATAACAATAATGATTTAAAGTCTACATTCTTGAGCATCATGATTATCACATCTTACATTTTGAATTTGTGTATCTAAGTAAAATTAAAAAATTGTCGATTGTTATTTATCGGTATATAGTTTTACTCCTACAACATTTTTTCTTGAACTTGTGTTCCAAAATAAATAAATTTCTTACCTAAATCATCACCTTTCGGTTATAACTAATTTTTTGGCAATCTAGAGATAGATTGAAGTGGTGGGAATAATCCGAAAATATTATTGTAAAAACCAAGTTTAAATGAAATACATATATGGTTGTGCGAGGGGTGAAATATGTAAACATTGAATTACGAATGGAATATTTTGTAATTTTTGAAAATCACATTAGAAAGTAGAAACCGGTGAACGCACTTCTAAAGGCTCACCATGACGGCGCCGATGCGTGTCATGAGTCCAAGATGAGTCTCCGACGTCAGTCCTTAAGAAACGCCACCCAACGCCATGTCTTGAGAAACGTCGTTCTAAATGCGTTTGACATTGTCACGATGTCAAATGTCATGTCATTTAAAACCTTACTTTTGAGGTTATCAAGTGGAAGGATTCTCGCTCCAACAAAACCAAGATTTTAGTGCTTCGTAAATAATAAAAATTGAAAAATGCCCCTTTCAGTTCCGCATGCAACATTGAACGAAGCATTGAACTAAAACCCTAAATCACTTGGAAGCAAATGACTAAGAAATTTACAAATAGCGGAAGGTCGAAGAAGATTTTTGGATCGGGTTCTAATGAAACATCCCAAAAATACAACCCAAATTTTTTTTTTTTAATATTACTAAAAATCACAAACATCAAGTATCATATAATAAAACCATACATCATGTATCTCAAAAACCATAACAATGTCTAATATCAAAGACTATAT